ACCCAATTGTTTAAAAGGTTAGCACAATAGACGCCGGCAGTAATGGACCGCTTCTGTGCGGCAAACAAACCACTTTTGAGGGCGGCTTTAGAGAGCCATCCATTGCCTGGTGGCCAACCAGAATCGCCCCCAACTCTATCAGCTCACAATCTGCTACTATTATGGACTTATTTCGGACTATAGTCTCGATGGCAGACATACCGATGCCTACGGACAGGGAATATGATTCATACGATTTGAGACCCGTTTTATTTGAGGACAAAACGATTGACACGAATGTGTTTTACTATAGAGGAAACCAATTGATGGCCGTTAGGAATGGCGCCTATAAGGCACACTTTTGGACGTTCACCAACACGATTGAACAATTCAAAACGGGTATTAACTTTTGCACCGGTAACTCTGTTAAGTCCATCACAACCCATGAATTGACTAATTATACACAATCGCCAAAACTGTTTCACATGATTAGAGACCCGGGAGAGAGATACCCAATTCCGGAACACTCTTATGAATATAAGAATGTAATTCATAAATATATTAATATTTATAATAATCATATCTCAAGCGTAAAGCCCGCGAAACCCGTGTTGAACTGGTGTGATAAGCATGTTATGCATTGGAGTCCACCCGGTTGTGAGGCCATTGACATGTGTCTACGGGCGCCCCCATCCAAGCCTTATCGCTGTGATTGGCCACATTGACTCATTTAGTTGTCATTTACAATTATATCTTATCGTTATATTTTTGCTATTATTCCTATAATAATTTAATTTTAATTGTATATTTTATTTATACTATTTTAATTATAGTAGAGTAGAATTTATAAATATCTCAAAAGTATATGTGCTATAAATGCGTCAAATTATAAACAATATTTGTTGACTATTAACGAATTACAAGTCATTAATTGAATTGAATGTGTTTTATGTGTAAATAAAATATGTTGATAACTATTTGAAAACATGATGACAACATACCGTATGTTAATTGTATTTAACACACGATTAAACACAAAAAATTCATTACTGTTTTACTGACTGTTTTAGCTTAAAGGCTATTAAAAGCAAATAAACTATTTTTTATGGTAAAATTAATTAAATAATTATGGTAAACCTTGTATATAGAATTAAATCAAACATTTTATTACAGAATATTCTGTTTATTACATATAAATTATTACAACGAGTTGACCATTGATTGTGCGAAATATTTATGAACTTAAAAATTATCAAATAATAAAATTACACCCATTTTTAGTGATAATACATTTAAAATTGTATTAAAGTATCATAGATTAGATCATTTAAACATTATATTCACAACATATCAATTCAACAAAACAATTGAATTTCGTAAATCATATAAGGGTTTAATATATCAACAAATTTTATGAGTATCTTATATACTGTATATTGGATTTCGAGTATAAAGGACTTAAAATGTAATAAAACTAGATACAAGCTCATGGTATGGAAGCGATTATGAATTAACTGCTTTGGTAATTCTTTAGCGGCTCGTTGAGCATGGTACAAATTTGGGTAATAAATTTTACAGTAAACATAATAAATAAAACTGACGGGCATAATTTACTTGTGATACTTGTTAATATAATTCATCCCAAACTATAGAAAGACTATAAATGTAAATCTTGTCAACGATATAGTATTTGATACGACAAACACTTTGCTATTAAATAATTAGTTGAGCAGTAATTGGTAGACTTGTGGCCAAAACCTTTTTAGCCATCATTTAAATTGTTTAACGTATAATATTGTTGTCTCATATCAAGCGATGCTTTCATCGCAACCTTCATGTAGAGCCGTTGGCCAAGAATAGTGAGTCCCCAATGAGTGAAATAAGCAAACAGTTTGTGTTTCCAGTGGCCGTTAGTGTAGTGCTCGATACCGACCGTACGGATGGCGGCCGACACAAAGTCTTCGGGTGTGACGGCAATGATGGGAAGCGTGACATTAGTGGTGATCTTTGTGCTCACTTGGTTTGGGGACACCGTTTGGATGTAAATGCCTTTCGACTCGTATTCAACCGAAAGCGCTTCCGACAGGAATGTGTGAAACGCTTTGCCTGTGTTTTCAATGCAAATATATTGTTAATCATAATTAATGGGCAAATAAAATATAAAATACTGTATATGACATCCGACAGGTTAGCAGATAATAGGTTTATGCCTTATCTATGACATGCACTTAAACTTGTGGTCAAATGCCATATACAGAACATATAGAGAGTAGGGATGACTAACTGGCGCCGTATGTGGTGTACAGAGGAATGGGTGCCTCTCCTATGGCTGAAGATATATTG